TTCGAACTTGATCCGAAAAAAAATGACGTGCATCAAGGTCCTATTATGTTTAATGTATGTACCAAATTTGAATGAAATCCGTCCATGCATAACTGAGATCCGGGTTCGGAATGGTGAAAATGTGCGATTTCAATGCATTTTCGGCCTTAAAGCGGCCGCCATTTGTCTATCGTTAATGAGATCATGAATCAAATGCACATACATATTTGTGACATGATGTACCTTGTGTGTGTGAAGTTTGAACTCAATCAATCCAAGCATGTCTCAGATACGGATCCAGAACTGAATTCTTTAAAACAAAATGGCTGCCAGTCGGCCATTTCGAACCCGATCCAAAAAAAAAAATGACGTGCATCAAGGTCCTATTATGTTTAATGTATGTACCAAATTTGAACAAAATCTGTCCATGCATAACTGAGATCCGGGTCCGGAATGGTGAAAATGTGCGATTTTGATGCATTTTTGGCCTTAAAATGGCCGCTATTCGGCTATCGTTAATCGGATCATGAAAAAAATGCATGTGCATATGTCCCATATAATGTGTGATGTATGAGTGAAGTTTGAACTTAATCGGTCCATGCATGTTCGAGATACAGGTGATCACGGACAAACGGACGCACGGACGGACGCACACAGGGCAAAACATAAGTCCCCGTTTTCGGACTGCGTCCGAACGGAGACTAAAAATCCTTCAAATTATTACTGTTTCAGAAATATATTATTGTTTTATTTATAAACTTGGATCCCAGTTTGATCACAGGTTTGAATATTTAAATATCAGTAAGCAGGGGACAAACAAGGGAAGAATGGTTCTCACTTCCAGTCATATACAAGTATGAAATAAATCTAACACAGCTGGCAGTGGAGTAGGCATACAACTAGTTCCACTATCAAAACACATGGTAAATAGTTATACCTAGGATACACTCAACATATCTGTCTCCTCCATAAACATGTGTTCAGCTTCAAGTGACTTTTATTTGCTTTCTTTGCTGTGTGTATACTCAAGTAGCTGATATATATATATATATCTGAAAGCAGAGGATTCGCTAACCTATTTCCATCATGATAGAGGAGTGGGTCATTTTGTCTCAGAAAAGCTATGACACAATAATCTAAAAAATAATATAAATATTTATAGGCCCAACCTCAATAAATTTCAATGAATCAAACTTATTTTGTCAAAGGTTGTGAAATCTATCATTTGAGCATATAATATGTGATAAAATTGCAAGGATTGATGATGCCTGACCTTAAAGTACAACTCAGAGATTTAAGTTGCTTCATGA